TGACGAACGCTATCGTCGAAAAGGGGCCCTCATCGATTCTGTCTCTGTTTTGTGTGATATCGAGCTCAAATAAACGCTGTTGGGATTACCTTCGCAACACGGTATGTCCACTTTGTTATTAGTATTCCATTTTTTATTCTGACACGACTGCACCTCACTGTCGATCGCTATAACAGTTCGTGGGTCGCAATGCCGGTCCAACCTTTCTTTGCCGGGTGTCACGTCAGCATCGAGTTGCAATTGTAAAGGATCGGTCCCGAAGCGGTTATCACTTCGCGGTCTAACAGCGCAAATCCAGCACTTCGATCAAACGCGCGCGTCCGCTCCGTAGTGTGAACAGGCATTTACGTGGCTCTTGCTGAGACTGTCGTAGTTCAAACGTATATTTTTTAACGTCGGCTCGCTCCTGCATTTCCGAGGCCGCGAAAAACGCCGCGGCATTTTGCTTCCATCTACGTCGCTTTGCAAACGACTGCGGGCCGTCTTTTACCAACGATAACAGTTGTGTTGACTTCGTAGCGATCGAGTTCTTAGCAGTCAATGGGGGCGGTTACGCATCCCGGCCTCGGCATTCGGGCGAGTTTAAATCCTGTTAGCGTCGACATATCACTGCACGGACACGAACCCAAGACAAGCGGTGGCAGAAAGGCAGCCTGTGTTTGTTATGAAAAATCCACGTGCTCCGAACGGCTCCGAACAAATGCCGAGCTCTCCGATTGGTTGTTCGTGCTGCCGAAGACGCTGTCGCCATTGCAACAGCACCGGTAAGTTTTAGTTTTTCCGTACGACAAGGTCGCTTTCCTCCTCTCACCTAAGAATGCGTTCGAGAATACCGATTTCTCCTCTTCTTACGATGTTCTTAACTTACGGAGTTCTTAGCTAAGTTGTCGTAAACTAAGAAGGTCTTCGTGAATCTGGCCTCTGATTCAAGAAACTTTCTTACGACAAAGAAGTTTGTACATTTATCTTGCGACAAAGTTACGAACCTTTGAGTATTCCCGAAGCAAAATGTTCGTACGTTTTGCGTATATAAGTTACGGATTTCGTCTAACCTACGCAAAGCTTACGAACATTTTGCTTCGGGAACACTCAAAATTTCGTAACTTTGTCGTAATATAAATTTACGAACTTTTTTTGTCGTAACAAAGTTTCGGGATTCTGGCTTCAAATTCTTGTACTCCTGATGAGAGAACTTGATTATCATGTCTGCCGCATGCCTCGGTGCCGCTTGCGCGCATCGAGCTTCACCGCTTTGCACCAGAGTGCTAGGAACAGCAGCTGACATGAAGGAGCTCCTGGGTTAGCTCGATAGGCTCCGAAATTATGCTCAGTAGTATTACAGGTCTACTTTTTTTGGTCTTCATTAGAAATGGATCTCTAATCATAAAAAAAAAAGCTACATCAAGAAAAGACAACCGGATCTATGTTTGATTAAGTACGGTAATCAAGGTTGTTACCGTGCAGCTGTCGATATACACCAACTCATGTTTACAAACAAACCGGATCGCGCCTAGCGAACGCCACCGGCGCCGCGCTTGCGCGATGAAGTGTGGGCAAGAAGCTCGCCGTCTCCCATAAACAAACCATTACAATGCGATGTTGTCGGCGTCGGTGTGAGTCCCCCTGCCCTTTTTTGCATTGGAATTGTTGATTCTACGTCTTCCTGGCAATGTCTGACCACTTGAGCGGCCTCAGCGAAATTACTCGCTACACCGCAAAACGTCGCGTGAAATATGTGACATGCAGCGAATCATTGCACGTGGACGCCGCAAAGAATGCACGCTAAAGCCTGATTCGCATGACGAGATTCCGCTCGCAATTTTCAGTCGCGACGTCGCTCGGGCTGCAAAAAGCGTGAACCGTAGCTGAGATGGTCAACGTCGATACTGAATATCACGAGCAGAATCCGACCAAGTGAATCAGGCATAAGAAGTCGGTGATGGCTACTGGTAACAATGATCAACATCTCCTTGTATCTACTGTTTACATCGAGCCTGCTTACCCCAAGCAATCCTGAAACTTAAGTCCCTCAAGTCTTTTAAGGCCTGCACTTTCTTCTTATCGCAATTACCGGGTCAACGTTTGGTCTACGGGCCTGTGTCGTCTGAAAGAGCAGACAACAAGCAGAAACGTTTGAAAGAGCAGACGACAGTTCGAACAATCAAGCGGCCGTTTTAACTTGAAGACGCACTGAACGTAGTCCGCAGGTGGTCCGCGCAACTTGACGGTTCTCCAGCGTTCACGTTGGAACAAAACAAATAAATCTGACGAGCATAAGTATCCGTGAATTCAACCCACAGTGCTTTCCGCCTAAGCAATTGTGGTTGGACGGTGTCTGCGTTTCCCTTTTCACGGCACATATCCACATTCTCGGACGAACCGAGCACATAAAAACTGACCTTCAAACCTTTCTCGACTCTTTTCGTACAGCCCCAGTCACGGCGTTTTGACGAGAAGGCAGGTTTTTGTCTGGTTTCCGTCAAAACAACACAGGAATACACGTCTCGCATAGGGACTTCCACCCACAGCCCCAGACCGGAACTGCGCTCGACGCGCCACCACCGCGCCATGACGTAAAAGAGTTGAGATCGTGTATAGAAAGAGCAACGACCTTTCACTTCACCCTGGTTTCAACGCCGTTAAAGAACAGTGTCACTCTGGAAGCACAAGCGTACATTTTCATCACATTTGTGGGTGATAGTGTTTTGCAGTTTATAATATCAGAGTCTTGTGTTTGGTAGCTTCATAAAACTTGGGGTATGCGTTTTATTGATAGACGAAATGCTGATTGTTTTGCTGACCTTTTACAGCAATTGTGTTTGCAGGACAAGCTACCGGGTGTAGAAGCGGAAGGAGAGAGAGGCTTTACACCAAATGAAGTATCGCGTTATGATTCATTTTTGAACAACTTTCTAGTGCCCAGTGCTGGAACCTACTCTGACCAGAGCCTTTTTTTTTTTTTTTAAAAAAGAAGGCTTTGTATTTATTCTGTGCCCTATTCATACTCATTACAAAAAGTAATAAGTAATATGATAAAAACAAAACAGCGCAAAGACAATGACGAAGTAGAAGAAACCACAGGTGTCCACTTACCAACTAGCCCAAATTTCTACGTTAATCAATTATAATAAGTAATAAGCTCCAGTATGAAAGACGAAGCCTCGATTATTATCAAATATGAATTTATTTAGCGCTGAAATCGCTTTCTCACGTTTAAGTGTGTGGCTAACAGATGTTGGCATCTGCTCCAAAAGCCTCAGTGGCTGCTCCAAACCAATATTTTGCCTGATACAGAATCTGCTACAAAACGTCAAATGCCGCTTCCATCACTGCGTTCTCTTTCCGTCCGAATGCAAGTGAGGTCTTGGTGGAAACATTTCCTAAAAATGTTATCAACCTTCAAGATTGATCTGAAATGGGAATAAGACAATTGTGACAACTTCTGACGTCCATCTATATTCATGACGTCCTATTGCTATAGCGATGATTGGGCGTTGCCCCTCTCATGCACCGTGATTGTAACTTTCATTTTTTTTTATTTGACAAAACGTTTGATGGTGCTTACAGTGTACACAACGCGGTTATGTGTTGCGTGTGGCCACGGCGGAAGCACGAGTAGATCCTGCCAGGTGCTTTTCGTCGCGCACCCACAATACACGTTTAGCGGGGTAACCTTTAGCAGAGGGTACGTTTTTGCAAATTTGTACCTTTGAATATAGAAGTTACAATGTAACCGCAAACACTGTACCCTCTATGCAGTGGTCACGTGGAAGCTCCTGAATAAAGGTTACGATAGCGTCTGACATACGCGCTTCTTTTTTTTTTTTTTTTTTTTTGTAAGGTTTTAATATGTGGGCGACCGTTGCGTCGGGGCTTTTTTTTTTTTTTTTTTTTCTTTAGAGTTGTTTTTAGAAAAGGTGGTAATACCTACGTGGATGCAGTCTTCACCGTATTTTTGTTTGGTCGGCGGAAATTATATGAGATGATAAACTTCACATTATGTTCACTAATTAATCAAAATTTGATAACTAACCTTTTAATTAATGGCTTAATTGGTCATGTTGCAATTGAAGTCATAACGTGAGTAATGGTTACTGCCTAACCCAATCGAGGCGATTCGTGAATAGACAACGATCTTTGAGCTATTCATGGTTAAATTTTTGCCTTCGGTCAATTCAAGGCCGCAAGCTGAATATAATCAGCAGGAAAGTGACGCAGTTACCTCTGTCCCTCCGTCACTATCACTGAAGTTTGACAATTGCGCGTCCTCCAAAGGCACGCCGTCGAGATAGTTACGAGCAGCCGATAAAACTGCGTCACGCTTCTACGCACCATAATCAGGCGCGCCTTTCTGCGAGCGGTTTTGAATCAAGCAAAGAAAGCAAACTTTGAAACGAAAAATATCTCAAAAGTTGTAATTTATTTTTGTGAACTGTCTAAATTGGGTCAGGCTTTAATAATTGGTCCCGTTATCACTGCAATTGCGGCATGGCCAATTGAGCCATTAATTCAAAAGTCAATCAACATATTTTAATTAATTAGTCAACAAAATGGGACGTTTATCCCATCACCTAGTGTCCGCCGAGCCCCGCAAAAATCCGGCGAAGACTGCATCCACGTAGCAATACCTCCTTTTCTTAAAAACACCGTAAATAATAAAAAATACGCTCTGTATATAGTATCTACTTATGTATACTTTTTTGCAAGTCATTTTCGTCAACTTAACCCCTCCTTGAATATAGCTTTCAGCAACAAAATTAAACACGAAGCACGTCCGTCGCCCTAAGATCGGCCCTCATTTAAAGTTGACTATAGTCAATGGTATTATATTTGTGACCCTTGTAATTTTTACGCTAACATAGCCTCGCTGATTGGCGAATATGAACATCCCGCATAAAGATACGCGCTTGGGCAGCTTAAATAATGCAACAAATGTTGAGAACTACTCACTTTATTGTCAAAGCCTTAAAGTAATTACAAATAAAAATTAAAACGCCCTGTTCACGACGATGTCCCAAAAAGAATGAACTTTTTATGCAAGGCAATGTTCGACAAAGCTCACCCAGGTCTTCATTGTCCCAGCTTAACCAGCAACGCTTTCAGCTTTCCGTTCATTAACACTCGGGGTTCAGTATCCTTGGGCAAAAACAGTTTTTGGAGCAGTATCAACGGCTGCGGAAGTGCGATCACGAAGGCTTTCACTGAGTGGAACACGTTCTCCTGGTTTTCGGCCGTAAATCACAGTCTTCTCAGCTGATGCGTTTATGTGATGGACCGACGAAGTGGGCCTGTCTGGCACCTCTGCCTGCGGTATGAACAGACAAAACAGAAATTAACTCACCAAGCTTGTGGAATTTTTCATATCATTGGTGTGCTGATCGTTTATCAATATTGGTCTGACAATATGTGGATTTTGTGCCTCGACTTACATAAATCATATATATCAGAAGTAGCAAACATTTTAACGGAAATCTCACACAAGAAAATGCACAAAATTAATATTGAAACCTTTCGTACCTGGTTGGTCGAGAGGTACTTCGCTCCAGCTTGCTTCAGGTGTCGCTCAATGTGAGAAGGTACAGCGTTTTCCGTGCATGTGCGAAAAGGTGTTGACTGCATTGATCCCGACGTCCACGCGAGCAGACACTTGCCTTTGGAACCTCAACTCGGACTCAGAACCAAGCTGGATATAAAGAACATTCGGTATAGAAACTTGAACCGAAGCTGTGATGCAGATTTAATCCTGCGTCGAGTATAACATTTTTCTCACTAGCTAAACGTGAAGCATACCTTGTGAAGATTTGTCGTTTTAGAGTAATTCAGATGAAACAGCAGCGACGACGAGTTCCGATCCGAAACGATGCACGACAGCCGCGCGCGGCCACAACCGCGATACCAACCACCAAAAGCGAAGTGTCGGCGGTGAAGGCAGTGATGGCGCCAAGGAGTCCGGTCACGTGAGGTTACGTCTTTATAGTTTCGGAATTCGTTGAACTAAAAAGGTTGGGTTCACTCCTCTTATTATGCCTCCTCTCTCACTCGTATCGGCCCCTCCCTTCCTCTTTCCCTTTCTAAGTTCTCTTTTTGGGAGGAAACAAAAGTAAACAATCCTTTCGATCGTGTAAAGGTTACCCGTTCTTGTCCAACGTTACATTTTAGAGGTTACAACACAAGAGTCGCAGCGTAACCACTAAACGTGATCCTAGACAAAAAAAAAATCGCCATTTTAACCTTTAAGGAAACGGAAAATGCATGAAACCTTTAAAAACGACTTCGTAACTTCTAAAATAGAAGTTTCATCCATCTATAGGTAGCCATAGAGGGTACGCCGTTAAAAGTGTACAGACCTGTAGTGACAGCTCGTTGCTGACCACGCTGTTTTTCAGAAGGCCCGGGACATCGCCGTGCAACATGAAAATAAAGCACGAGCCGACACGTCGATTTGTCAAATCTGTTTCATCACAATGACCTTTCCGAGCTACCGATTCGGGACTTCAGTCAACCTAACGGCCAATTGCGAGAAAGCAGTGAACCGGCCGGAAAAGTTTCTTTCGCGATATAAAACAATAAATCAGCTCGACTCTTGAGGCTTCCGTGATTGCATATTGGGGGCGGCTGGCGCGATAGCCGCCGAAATAAAGCGAGGAAGGTGCGTTGGTTGTCTCCAAAGCAACGAAAATGAGATCAGTGAAAGGGCCGCAGAAAAAACCATGACCCATAATGGCCTAAGAATTTAGGCGTGCCTTGCGTTGCTTCTCATGTTGTCTAGAGCGAACCGTTTTTCCGGTACCTCTATCGCTACTGTCGTATCAGCGTGCTGCCTATACTTCGTTTCAGCTTAAGTACAGACGCGGTAAACACTATGAACTAATGGGACCAATCTAAGAAGAGTCAGAAGCGCGAGCCACTATGCCCTTTTTGTTTATGATTGGTTCAGCGATGATAGAGCATTTACAGAAACATGACGAACGCTATCATGGTACCTTTTTGATGCTATCTGAATGTTCCTATCAGCTCGCAGCGTCGGCTGCGTCTTTAAGGTAAAGCGAGGTATAGGTCGCTCGGAACACAACCTACGCAACCGTATGAGCCAGACATCGTGCGTTTATCAACGTTAATCAGTGTGGTGCTTCTGGAGGCTCACTTACGTTAACACACCACCAAAGGTTTGGAACGTAGTGATTAAAGATCGGGGCAAACTATAGGGTGGCTCAAGTCACCAGGCTCGATCTAAAATGGACCGTGCAAATCAACGCCTGCACGTAACAATCTAAACTTTTCGTCAAAGGTGGAATTCACAGATCGGTTTTTTCTTGTAAAATTACAAAGTAGCTCTTTTTCTCTAAAAAGTAAGGCCAAGAAACTTGCTATAGCAAGTTTCTTGGCCTTACTTCGCCTTAGACACTATAGTGTCTACGGCGGGCAGCAACGCAGACGACAGGGTCCAGTAGCGGGGTGTGTTTGGCGTTCGTATTGACAGCTGGCGCTACCTCCTTATCGCGACGGCTCGCGACCACCGTGGTTTTCTAAAATGAATATAATCTTTTTGGAATGTACCTTTGGTTAAAAAATAAATGCGAACAATAAAAGCAAAACTTAAAGCTAAAAAAAAAAAACGCGTCTGCGTAACGGCGGCGGCGCTTTTGCTGCCAACAGATTTCGTCTGCGTGTCGTCTGCTATCTTTCGCTGGTCGGCTGCACCTTCAAACGCTGCTCCCGATGCCACCTATCAATACGAACGCCAAACACACCCCGCTACTGGACCCTGTCGTCTGGGTCGCCGCCCGTCGTAGACCCTGGCAAGTTCCTTGGCCCTATGTTTTATTAACAAAAATCTACGCTTTGGAATTTTACAAGAAAAAACCGACCTGTGAAATACACCTTTGACGAAAAGTTTAGATGGCTACGTGCATGCGTCGATTTTTACGGTCCATTTTAGATTGAGCCTGGTGGCTTGAACCACCCTATATTTTGAGTTCAATGCCTGCCTGCGTAAACTCGGGTGTTGTTGTGCGTTGAGATGGCACAGGCCCAATCATACCTGTTTTGGATTGCCATATTTGCGCGAGAGTGGCCGGAGTCGCGAATAGCCTATTAACTAATTAACAATGACACGTCATCGGCTTTGTTGATCATTGGCCCACGTGACTTGCCTGCGCAGGGCCTTTCCTCATGGACAACCTGTACTGCAACGGGCACGAGGTGCACATCGAGGAGTGCCAGTTCGACGGATGGGGTGTTCATGACTGTGGACGCGAGGAGGCCGCCGGAGTCATTTGCGACAAGGACCCGGAGGCGACCGCCGCCCCCGTCACCACCCCGGCCGCGCCGGTCCCCAAATGGGTCTCCAAAAAGAAGATCAGGGTGAGCGCGCGCGGTCTTTGAGTCGCTTGTCCGATGCTCCCATTCCCGCTTGCACTGGTCGCTCTATATATTTTTTTGCCTGTTAAAGATTAAAAAAAAAAATAATAATCTTTTGTTTCTTGTATCCAACATCATCTGCTGCACGTTTTTCATTAGATAATCTGGGAGTTCGCGTCCTGCGTCTGATGTTTTCACTGCAGATGGATAACTTCACCAATTCCTGACCAATGACCGGTGGGAATGGACCTAAATCCTCGAAACTTCGCTATATGGTTGAGTCGCGGTGCGTTGACGTCCTGGACCACTGATCTCACTAACGCGCGCCAAGAGTTCGTTCCGATTAAGACCATGAAGATAACTTTATACTTGGCGGCAAATATTGTGTATCACATTGCAAGGCTGGCGTAGCTCCACACTGCGCCAGCCCGACGCATGCTGCGAGAGCAGGTGGCCGAGGCTTCGGCTTGCTTCTCATTCCCATTCTTTCGGGCAACTAGCTGACACAGTCAAATTACTGAGGAAGGTACGTTGATCTTGACAACGTAGCACAAAATAGTTGACGTATAGTATATTTAAGAGCCCAGTAGAAGCTTCCAATTCTTCCCGCGCATGTTTCCTTCTGCCGGCTCTGGTTGCCGTGCGACGAAGTGCTTTCAAATGTGGATAGCTCGCACGGGGTAACAATTATTAAAGACATTCGCAGAGTGTCATTTGAATAAGCATATATCGACGTATATACCCTCTACCTCGCCCGTCGTGGAGTGTAAAAATTTCGAAGAAATTTTGCCTGCATTATTAACCAATTACTTTTTTGAAGGTTCCTGACGAAACTTTGTTACTTTTCAAACCGCTCAAAGACTGAAAAAAAAAAAAAAAAAACTTTATCTAATAAAGTTCGAAATCGTCTTGTTTGGGGGTCGTTCATCGAACGTGCATCATATCTTGAACGCGTGCCCAAATGGCTGAATTGAGAGCAAGTTACAAGAGGCGCCTGCATGGCGAACACTGACGTCTTCTTTCCGCAGGCCAAGAGCAGAGGCAGCGTAAAGGTGCGCCTAGCAGGTGGCCGCAGCAGGCAGGAGGGCCGCCTGGAGGTGTACATCCCCAAGCGCGGCTGGGGCGTAGTTTGCGGGGACGGCTGGGGAGTCCTCGAGGCCATGGTCGTCTGCAGGCAGCTCGGCATGGGCTACGCCCAGGACGCCATACAGGTAAATAGACACCATGACATATATTTACTAACGGGCAGAGCCAACACCACCTAGAATAAGCAAAGCCCGTGCATATACATGTTGGCGTCATCACAGTGAGATCGAGCGCTGATTGGGCACGAGTGCAGCGTCAGCGCTCGGCTGAGCCTCGCGTCCAATCAATGCATCGAAGTGCGCCTGGTGCTGGGCTCGCGGGGCTAATAGACCTTTCGCTAAATTACCAAAGCGTCAAAGAGAATGTTGGAAACTTCGGTACACGAGCTGCACGTGCACGCCTTCCTTAAAAAAGATACTCGAAGTAAATAAGCAAAATAAAGCGTCCATACAATGCGCGTAAAATTTCTTTTAGATTTTGTTTTGTTTTCGCACAGTCAGAGCTGAAGACGCCAGCACCCGCTGCGTGTGTACCTACGTTCCCGGTATTCTTTTTGATGGTTGGGTGATTCGGCAAAAGGTATGTTGCTGACTGCCGCCATCCGAATGATGTTACGTGGTGAGAGGGGAGACTGCTCACTGGCTTTGATTATGCTATGCTCGTATTCACCTAAAGAACCGTAGTAAAAAAAATCTGGCTCCTCGCGGAAGATCTATGTGGTTCTGCTTCGCAGGCAGTGTTAGTATATTACGAGGGATATCATGAAAGAGAAGTGCCAGAGGAAAGGAGGGGAAGGACCTTCAGACCAAACGGTCCTCTTCCGGTACACAAAAGGGGAGATGACAGATCAAAAGATATATACAACAGATATACAAAAGGGGGAGAAAACACGTGACAGCTGTAGCGTCATGGAGTTGGAGAGGGAGGAGGAAAAGTTGACAAGTAAGATGCGGGAGGTCTGTGAGTCAGTGAGTGAGGGCATGCGGGCGAGGGTAAAGCCGTAGGCACCCCTGTGACCACCCAGATTATCGAGAGAGAAAAAAATGGAAAGGGGGAAAGGAGCGAACGAAATCGGAATGTCTAATAGCCGAAAGAAAGTTTTTTTTGTTTAGACCAAAAGGGAATTCCTTCTTTAAATAAAAAATATATCTGTTTTCTTTCCTTTTGCGTGAGGTGGATGTGTGGAAGCCTGATTTAATTACGTATAATCGCACGTTGAGTTCAAAATGATTCGTGGAGGAGAAGTGTTTAGATACGTGTGTAGAAAGGTCATGTTTAAGTTGGCCCGCGTTTTCTAGTGTGACAAGTTGGAGGTGTTTTCGGAAGCGTTCTTGGAGTCGGCAGTCAGTTTTTCCCATATCTATATATGACTGCAGAAACCACTTTTGTTGGTTGTCTATGAATTGCGATACTATTCGTCGTGAGATTCACGACGAAGCTCACTTTGAAGAAGACGACGGTAATCTTGAGTAAACACCTTATTGTATGATATATCTTACGACGACATGATTGACGTCAGCGCGACTGCAGCACACTACTTGAAAATTGAGTGATTGCTTCGTCTGTGAAATCGTTTATTGTTCAAGTTGTTACACCACTATCATTGACCATGTACTAACTAACTCATTTCAAACCGATAATTACTTCGTAGCTTGGGCGCACATATGAATGTGTGCGTACTGCCGCACCGATACATGCGCGGTGAGGGTTTATCTGCTTACTAGGACGACGTCTAGAGCGACCTCTAGGGATGATCTCTAGGCCGAGCTGGAGAACGACCCCGAGGATGACGTCAGACATCTAGAACGACCTCCAGGTCGATTTCGAGGACGATCTCTAGGACGACGCCAAAGACCACGTCTAAGACGATCTCTCGGACGACCTCCAGAACTACGTCCGCACACGCGTGGCGCCTACAAATGCGGTGTTCTGCGTAAGCGGAGGGGCCGCGCTGCCGTGCGTCCCATACCCGCACCGCGCATGGCGCATTCCAGGCCGGATACCGTGTCGCGAAAACCGGGTGAAGTAGCTAAAGAATGCTTTCGCATTTACATCGCCTTAATAAGGTTGGACAGAGTGTGCAAGAAAAAATGAAGATCTTAGGGAACATGACCCTTGGGAGACGTCGAGCACATCCCCCTTTGGGAAACGCTAACGCTGACTCTCACTTTTCTGTTTTTGCTTTTTTTTTTTTTGCTTTTTGCGTTACAATTTTAGCTGCCTCTTTTTGGCTTTGTTACAGAATAAGTTTTACCGTTTCCCATAGAGGGACGTGTGTGGCGTTTCCCGAGGGTCATGCTAACGCATTGCCGATGGATCCACCAATGAATCGTCCTTTAATGTGGTGTAGCGATGGCCGCCAAGAAAGGCCCATTTTCCACCAACCTTTTCATCCGCTCCGTAGACCACTCATGCTTTAATTCCTTCCCACACCCGCTCCCACAATTTCATGGTTATTATATTGATGACATTTTTGGTTTTGGCCTCCCTTCTGTAGTTGACTCCTTAACCAAAGCTGTATGTAACGCCCACGCTTCCCTCAAGTTTAGATCACTGGCAGAAAAAAATACTGTGTCAACTTCCTTGACCTAAAAATCACTAATGACGGTCACAAGTTCCATATTTTTGTGCGCTATAAACCCACTGACAGCCATAGTTACCTTCTCTAGTCCTCGAAACATCCGCGATCCCCCACATAAACTCTATTCCCTTCTCACGATTCTACGGCCTCCGTAGGATTTGCAGTGACGACATGGATTTTCGTCTTCGGCTTAAGGCGATGACCGCCTTCTATGTTGAACGCAGTTATCCACCCGGCCTTCCGCGCAATGCGAGCAGTCGCGTCTCTAGCATTTCGCGGCACGACGCGCTATTTCCCCGATCAATATATGAACCACCGTGCAGCCCCTTCATCTTCACGTTCCGTCCCTCCATACCCAGGCTCGGCAAAGTAATCGTGGACGTCACTTCCCACCTCGTAGACTCTAAAGTTATTTCTGAAGCACTCGCCCTAACCTATCGACTACAGCCCAACTTACGCTCGCATCTAGTACCTAGCAACCGGTCCATAAAATCTCCGACTCTGCTCCCCGGTACCACGCCCGCCATGCCGTGCGGCGCCCCGAAATGCCTTAAGTGCAAACAAATCCGCCCTCCTTCCCATTTGCTAATGAGAATCCCAGGCAATCACACCTGTAAATCTAATTTGATATACAATATTTCCTGCACACTAAGTCCAACCTTATTATATATCGGCAAAACTGACCGCCGACTCCACGAACATTTCCGAGAGCACCACCGAATTGTAACACTAGAAAGCGTGGGCGAACCTAAGCATGACTTCTCCACCATGCGTATCACAATATTTCTCCTCCACGAATCATTCCAAACTCAGCAGGCGAGTATACGTCATTAAATCAGGTTTTCATTAAGTTTCACGCACACACCTCCGGCGAAAACGAAGAAAACGGATTAATTTTAACGTAAAGGCGGAATTCCCCTCCAGTCTAAACATAAAAGATTTCTTTCGGCTATGAGACATTCCCCCTCCGCTTGCTCCTCTCCTCCTCCCTCCTTTTTTCTCTTGACAATTAGGGTGGTTACGCGCTGTACCCTAAGCTTTCCTCTCTCCCGAAAGTCCTCACTTATTGACTTACAGACCCACCGATCTTATACTAGTCAACGTTTCCTCCTCCCTTTCCGACTCCACGACGTCACATATGTCACTTGTTTTCTCCGACTTTTGTATATATGTTGTATACATTTTGATCTGTTAGAAGGCCGTATGGTCGAAACGTTGTTCCCCTCCTTTGCTCTGTCACTTCTCTTTCCCTTCATATCCCTACTGGTGTTTTCGAGGAAAAGGAAGGCTGGGGAGGAAGAAGCAGGCGGAACGCTGGAGAGAGGAGGAGGTTTCCTTCCTTCCTCTCCTGCCATCCGTCTGCTTTCTCCTCCTCAGCCCTCCTTTCCATCGAAAACGTTTCTTAATCTGTAACTGACTATAGTTTTATGTTATGATATCAAGACGTACACGTTTGAAACGCCAAAAGCATTGTTTCTTCCTTCGACAAGCGAACATTGTAATAACTACATTGCGCAGCGTGTGAAAATGCGCAGAGCTTTCTCTTTTTTCCTTGTTGTAACAAAGAGGAAAGGAGGTGCTGACAGAGCACGCTGTGACAGCTGCTAGCCATACAACAAGTGCCTGGCGTCGTGAGGAAGGCGACGTGAGGTCCAAGTGGATGTCGCACTCGCCGTTCCAGCCTTCCAATCGCACTGGATTGCTCTGAAGGCGCTTCAAGGTTCTAGGGACGTATAAAGTTAAGAAAAACACCTATATACGATAGAAGAAAGGATATGTGCATACATATTATATGGTTGTACTACCCGTACTGGTACGCATTTAATGAATTGATATTGGGAAGTCACCTATAAAGTGAAGGTATTTATATGTATTTTTTTTAATTCTGCTGTATTAAGACAATAGACCAGCTGCTCAACCCGACACCTGCTCAATACTTTGAAAACATTTTTTTTTGTAAAAAAAATTAGATTCGTATTTATTTCTCTATTGTGAAATATGACATATTTTTGTTATATATTTTTTCTAAAAACAAGCATTAATACCTATATGCTGCGTATTATCATTCCAGCGACACAGATATGAATTAGCTTCTTCATAAACTGTGTAACTTAAAAAAAACTTACACGATAAATGGACCTTGAACCTGCTAGCACCCCTCACACCTTTCGATTCATTTACCGTCGTTTGGAGCGCCATCCAGATTTTCTTTTTAAAACTGCGTTCCATAGAGTACGGCGAAACGCCATCTAGACGTTGTGCTTCAAAATATAGGCATTCCATAGAATACACTGTAGTTACCATAGCAGCCATCCTCAAAACGGTGGCGTGTAGAACGACGGGAGGCGAGCCGTGGGGCCATAATGGCGGGTAATACTTGTGGAAGCAGATTAGCTCACTTACGGAACTAAAGTTCCGTAAGTGAGCTAATCTGCACTCCGTCTCACCCTAGAATGGTCAAGGGCCCGGAGGCTGCCGGGCGGAGAACTACCTCAGAAAAGCTTGCATCCACCTTGCAAACGAGTGCGCGAAAGAAATTCAGATACGCAGAGTACGAAGAGCACTAATCTTACGTATATGGTTCTTTGTTGTTATATTGCGCTATTTTATATTAATGAAATAAAGGTACATGGTATTTAGTTTCATAGACATTCATGCCATATTTTGTAAACATGTCAACTGTTTGGAGAAGTTGGAGGGCGCGCAAGCAACGCTGGCATAAAGTCGTTTCGCCCTTAGCCATAACAATCAAATCCAATCTTTGTGCACGTACCTGGACCTTCCGCGCGTAGTCTGTACAAACGCTCCTCGGTCGAACACTCGATCCGACCCATCTCCATTTCTCAATGACCACTGCTTCTGATCCCGGATTCTCTTTGTTACAATGCTTTAGTATCAGCAAGCAGACGGAGCCGCCGCGAGGGTTTGATAAGCAGACAAAAAACTCGCCTTCGCATGACGCATCTTGGCACACTGATACGTCTGACGGAGCAAATATTTCACATGGTTTCTGACAGGCTCATGACTGGACTCGGCGGCCTGTTGCATTAGGCTTTAGTCTATCGTAGGATGAGACGGATTACAGTAACGCTGGCCATGACCTGACATCGTGATGTCACAGCGTGTAATACAATTATGTCACGTGACGCCATGACGTTACATGATGCCGTGGTTATTTTGCAACGGGATTGTGTGTGCTTTGCGTGCAGCAGGGTGGTAGCGCCTCGGCTGTCGGCGCAGTTCATTTGCGGGACAGAGAAAGAAACTGAGAATGTTTTCCCCGTAAGTTTCTGACGCGCTAATTGTGACATTTTAAGCGAATCCACGTTGTGTTTTATGTTGTTTGGAGAAAAAATTTCGGTACTTTAATTTGTGCAACGTAGCGATACACTTCGTCGCGTTGCTGCTAGGATGGTGCAACCCGCGAGATAACCATTTGGATCATTCTTTTTTTGCTTGGCGATGAGCGTTGTACTGCCGTCCGGTAGTAATTTACTGATACTAGCGGAAACATGGTTGACTAACGATATCACCGATGCTGAAGTCTTGAATTATTTCCCAAATTTCAACCTTTGTCATGAAGATCGTAAAGGAGAACGAGGTGGAGGAGTTCTCATTGCCGTCAGCGAACAACTTTCGTGCGCTGTCATTAACATTAAGTCCGATCTTAAAATATTATCTCTAATTTGTCGTGCTGTCCCAATATCAAAACTACTTCGCATCTGCTATAGAAAACCACATTATTATTCCGATTTCTCACCTAAGTTTAATGATATGTTAAACCAACTTACGAACGAACGCCCTAACGCACATATTCTATTTTTTTGGGGACTTCAATTTTTCGAGTACTGATTGGACTAATTTGACACCCTTAATTGTAAGCAGCACCGAATCAAGGGAATTCATCAAAACTTGTCTCCACTTCCACGCGCGTAGCACGAGATTCTGCAAAAGTTTTAAATGTGATACTAACCAGCCATCTGGAGAGCCTGTCTTTCATTATTTACCTCTGAGAAATTAGTGACCATAAAGTAATTCATGCCAATTTTCAGTTTACCCCGACCTACAAGAAAACAATTCTCTTGTACGACAAAAAAAGTATGAAGCAATAAATGCAGAGTTGAAGAGATTACTTCGATATTTCGAAACGACCTTTTATAACCGATCTATTTATAAAAGCTTGCGTTTTTTTAAAAACAAAATTAACGAACTGATAAATACATTCCAAAATCGATTTCCGCGTCAATCGCTAAAACCATGATTCACCAAAACACTGGAAAAAAAACTAGAAAATAAAAAAGCGGCTTTTTTGTGCAGCAAAGCTACGAGCGAGCTCTTGTGGGTGGAAAGAATACTATGCGACAGAAGGATAACTGCAATTCAAAATGCAAACTTTGTTTTTCGTTTTGAACTGACTAATATTCTAACCTTGAACCCTTGGAAGTTCTGGCGAGTAACAAAGCCGCATTAGACGCACATGGTTACCCTCAGCAATGATTTAGGAGAGATTGTCAACGACTCTGAATGTGCCAACATATTTAATAATGAATTCTCATCTGTTTTTACTACGGAGCCTGAATTTCAATTTCCTATACAACCTTCTGTTATACAGTCCGCAATGCTCACCATCACATTCATAGCCGACGGCATTACATCCATGATCGAAAACATGAAATTGTCATCGTCAACCGGTGCCGATGAAATTAATTCAAAATTTATTTAGAATACTAAGCACATTTCGGCAATATACTTGTCTTTACTGTTTGCTTAATCACTTTCACACAAACATAATCCCAGTTGACTGGAAAATGGGAAAATTATTCCAATCTACAAATCAGGCAACAAACATTCCCCATTGAATTATTGTCCCATTTCTCAAACAAGCATGTCTTGCAAAATCATGAATCTTGTAATCTATTCTCAAATCATGCATTTGTTCAACTCAAATAACTTGTTTAATAAGTCCCGGCACGGGTTTCGTAAAGGTTACTCTTGCGAAACTCAGCTGGCCATCTTTCTTCATAACCTTCATGACCTAGACTCCGATATCCAGACTGACGCCAGTTTCTTAGAATTCGCTAAAGCTTTTGACAAAGCACCTCAAAAGCGCTTGTTACTAAAACCTGTACAATTAAATATGAATCCCGATATCTTCAATTGGATCAAAGAATTTCTGAACAACCGCTCCCAATCTGCTCTTATTATAAACGATGCCTAAAATTTCCTCTCAGTAACATTAGATGTCCCGCAAGGATCTGCTCTTGGTACGCTTCTGTTCCTGATATATATTAATGAACTACGGCAACACGTGTCATTCCCTATCCGCACGTTCGCCGATGATTTTTTTATCTATCACTCGGTCACTAACACTGCTGACCCAACTTCCCATCAGAACGATCTTAACAACTTTCGGTTATATTGCCGCGCGCGCAGCTGGCCAAGCAGGCAGCGCGCGCGTGGCCTAACGGTTATCGCGCTTGCTTCCCACGCTGAAAGCCAGGGTTCGATTCCTGGCCGCGGAGGCGCATTTTTGTTGACACTGTAATGTAAGGTTCTGGTGAATTCGATAACCGTCTTGCTGATTCGAGGTTAGAATGTTCCACGCGCCGAACCTTCTACGCCGAACGATCCAGAAACCCACGAGGGTACATAAGGGATTCCGCAAGGCGAGCGGAGTCAGTCTAGTCCCAGCGTTCGACTCTGCTACCACGCCGACTTCGACGCCCGCGACGCTCTATTATTATCCTTTGTATTCTTTTATTTTTGGCACAAGTTCGCCACATTAAACGTTTATTTCTTCCTGTTTATTTGTTATTTTTGGTCACCACCCGTGACATTTTGGTGGAGGTGCGGGGTACCCGCATGCCCGTGCAGCGCTCCCCTCGGAGTTCCCGCAGTGCAAGTCCGGACCCAGCCTCCCGAGGACCGAGCGAAGACCAGATCGAGACCCGATCCAGTCGCCACACCCAAGGTCTACCCCCGGAACACGGACTTCTGCCACCCCGGACCAGGCAGCCAACGAGGCCGACGATGGACTACCAGTCGTCGCAGAACCCGTCCGCCGCCGCCGTCGTATACCTTCCCGTCACACCCCGGACTCCGACGCCATTCCACGGGGAGGTCCACGAGGACGTTGAAGATTGGCTACAGCATTACGAACGAGTGGCCCGCCATAACCAGTGGACACTAGAGCAGTGCCTTCAGAACGTCTACTTCGCTCTGGAAGGCACGGCGCGCACCTGGTTCGAGAACCACGAAGCGTCGATTTCGACGTGGGAAGAGTTCCAGGCCGAGCTGCGACGCACCTTTGCCAACCAGCAGCGACGACAGCGTGCCGAAGAACTCCTTCAAGCAAGACACCAAGGGCCAAACGAGAGCGTGACAAGCTTCGTCGAAGACGTTCTCCGCCTCATGAACCGCGCCGACCCAAACGCTCCCGAAGAGAAAACGTTGCGGGTCCTAATGCGCGGCGTCAAAGAAAACATCTTCGGGGGCCTCGTGCGGAGCCCGCCTACGACTGTCCAGGGTTTCATTACTGAGGCCACCAACATCGAACGTGCCCTTCACGCACGGGCCTCACACTACCAGAGACTTCCCGGCTTCGCTGCCCTCTCGCCGTCCAGCTGCAGCATCCCGGACATCCGCGACATCATCCGGGACGTCGTCCGGGAAGAACTCAGGAAGCTGCTGCCTGCTGCCAACCAGCCGGCTTCGCTGTCGATAGCCGAGGTGGTGCGCGAAGAAGTTCAGCGCGCAATTCAACCGGAGACTCCTGCCAGCGTGGCCGCAGCCGATGAGCCGACGCTGACCTACGCCGCAGTGGCCCGAGGACCGTCGCCAACTGCTCAACACTACCCGGTGGCGCCACGACGAGACCCATCAACGCAGGCGTACCCCCGACGCAACGACGAAGTACGTCAGTACGACCGCCGAGAACAGCAGGCGCCAAGGAAAACCGACGTGTGGAGGACAGCGGATCGACGACCCATCTGCTACCACTGCGGGGAGGCCGACCATATCTACCGTCGTTGTCCCTACCGGCAAATGGGCCTGCGTGGGTTCCACCCGAACGACCCACGCCCGAGGTACGGCGAACGCCCTCGCGACATCGAGGAGTACCTCCTACGTTCGCCCTCCCCAGTGTCGTCTCTCCGTCGTGAAGCCCGCTCCCCTTCGCCACGACGTTCAGCCCCCCCAGCGTCACGATCCCGCCGAGAGAGCCTGTCTCCCCTGCGTCGTCGGGAAAACTGAGTGCGGCAACGCCTGGAGGTGACGTTGCCGAAAACGACGGAAGCAAACAGCCTCCAAAAACGCCGGAGCGCTCCCACTCTTTCGACGCCCCGCATTGCATCGACGCGCCTGCAACGGTGTCCAACAACCTAAACGTTGTTATCGATGGCCAAAACGCATCGGCACTCCTTGACACCGGGGCAGACTACTCAGTATTGAGTGGGAGGCTCTCTCGCCACCTTCGAAAAGTCACGACGCCGTGGGATGGACCGCAGATACGAACCGCCGGAGGACACCTCATCACGCCTGTCGGAAGGTGCACCGCTCGCGTCGAAATTCACGGCGAGACGTGTCCTGTGAAATTCGTCATTCTACAAGACTGTTCCAGAGACGTCATTCTCGGCATGGACTTTTTGTGTGAATACGGCGCCGTCATCGACCTTGGAGAAAACAGATTGACGCTGCGGACACCTGTTCCGCCTTCAGAGAAACTCCAAACTGCGTCAGCCGCAGTCCGATTCGCTGCCGACCACGTGAATCTGCCGCCGCGATCAAGTGTTGTCGTACCCGTCGTGACCGATGCAGCTACCCGTAGCGAAGTTCTTCTGGAAGGTAACCTCCAGTTGCTC